AAACAAAGTAGTTGTACCAGATTAATTTTTATAAAATTCGGTTATAATTTTTATAATAGAAATAATGCAAGTGATTCAATCAATTAATCTGAAGGATTATTATATATAATATATGTAATAGTAATAAATAATAATAATGTATATAAATAATAATAGCTAAGAACGTAATAATATTATAATTATTATGTATATATTATATATAATATTATTATATAACTATTTATGGGAAGAATAAAGGAGGCTTTTAAAGATGAAGAAACACGATTCACTCGAGAGTGATGGAAAGAACGTAGCAGGATTAATTATATATTAATTATATACCACTGAATGCAATTCTTCTCGTTCACCTCGTAACGAGTGCTTCGTCAGTTCCGCGTTTCTGTTTAGTCTTGGAAGTCAAGACTCTTGCACAGTTTGTGCTCTCAAGCCTCATGGAAGCAACTCGAAAGGAGATTAAACTGTTTTCATGGTCGAAGAATGCTCGACAGCGCATAGGAGAATCACACGCTTGAAACTCGACGAGGTTAATGTTAGCTAACGTTAGATCGTTTGAACAGGAGAAGCACCACGAAGTACTAAATCTACGCGACTGCATTATTTTTTTTTTTCTCCGCTTTTTCATTCTTTGTAACGCTAAACACCGTCTCGAGTGCGTTCGAACACGAATTCGTTCGTTTTTCTAGTAAACCGAACGCCATTCGTCGACTCTATGCATTGAACTCTATGCGTTGAACGTTTATTTCTATGTCCGTCAATACGGCGGAGAATTGACGACACGCTGATTTCGTTATCCTTTCGCCGTATTAATTTTACAGCGAAATTATTTGCGATTTTCGGGATTTCATATTAAGGAAATGAGTTATTAATCCCTCGAGTGCCGATGACGTTTCATTTGCGTATACTGCGTTGCTCGAGATTACAGCGATCGATCGGGTAAACACTGTGGATCACTGAGAGATTCGTGGATTATTCGTAGCGGTATCCACATCGATCCGTGCGAAAAGTCAGAGTTCACCGTGCGCCCGTAACGTGTTGTAACACCGACTATACGTATCGTGAATTATTTATCAA